AGCCTCCAGCTTCCCTGGCAGCCTGGTCCCTCCTGCTCTACAGCTAGTGTGAGTCTGAGACTTTCATCTGCTGCAGGAGCTTTTATTTATACTGCCCTCAGCTGGGCCCTCATTGGCTGTATCTGCCCCAGCTGCTGGCTCCACAGCCCCAGCCCTTTCCCAGGGCTGTTTTAACCCTTAAAGGGCCGGTGTGGGGCAGATGACCAGTCACATTACAGCTTAAATGAAAAATAAGCAGAGTGCATGATTCCTTTGTTTAGGACAGCCATGTCTGTCAACTGTTGTTTGGGCAGGGGGTGGATTTGGAACTTGCATTAACATAACCATCCAGGGGAATCTTATAACACATTTCAATAAGGATGATACTGATCAGCAACTTATGAGCTTTTAAATGATGCAAGACACACCTTGTACAATCTTATTGTAGTAGCATGTAGGTGTAACCCACACGTCTAGGCTATGCCTACACTGTGCCCATTTTGCGCAAGAAATATGCAAATGAGGCAAAGCATGGAATATTGCCATGCCTTATTTGCATAATTAGTGAGGCTCTGTTTTTGTGCAAAACCCCGCTCTTGCGCAAGAGCCATTTTTCCTGAAAAAAATGCGCAAGAGGGGGGTTTTGCGCAAAAACGGAGCCCGGAGAGGTGGGCAACAGCAGGTGGCAAACGGATGTCAGGAGTGATGTGTAAAGTCCTGCCCATTGCTGTCTAGGCCTCAGGCCTGCGATACCTGGGCTTGTAGTTCAGGCCTTCCTCTCGCTACAGGACTAAGCTTCCAGTCCCCTTAAAACCTGTGTGTGTCCATAGTTTGCAACCTGTGTGTGTCCATAGTTTGCACAGCATCACAGGACTGGAAGGGATCCTGAGAGGCCATCTCGTCCCGTGCCCTGCACTGGTGGCAGGGCTAAGTCTCCCCTCCCCTGCCCCAGGAGAGGAGACGTAGGTGTCTCCAGCCCTACACCGCTTTGTCTGAATGCAGCTCTCTGTTACCGGGGGACTGGAGCCACGAACAAGCTACGGCCAATGCCGGCTGTTGAGGGGTGTCGGTGGTGTGGCAGGCGGGAGGGGGGCAGGTAGAAACGTGTCGGGTGTCTGAATGCAGCTCTCTGTTACCGGGGGACTGGAGCCACGAACAAGCTACGGCCAATGCCGGCTGTTGAGGGGTGTCGGTGGTGTGGCAGGCGGGAGGGGGGCAGGTAGAAACGTGTCGGGGGCTCCGTGTGCCCAGCCCGCTGCAGGGATATGGGGGTGCAACTGGGAGCTGGCGGAAGGGGGGGC